AAGAGCCAGATAATTTTCTCAGGCAACCAGAGTTCCATTCTCCTGTTTGGTTCTGTCTGCTACCCTCTGCCTTCTCCCGTCTGCTATGTATATTTCTATTCTTTATGCCCAAGATTATCCAAGCTCACCTCTTTTCTCCTTACCCGTTGGGGCAGGAGAAAGTTGCCTGTTGGTGGCAGAGCCATCAAGGCAGATGCCAGTTTCTGTTGTGCTAATCATCCTTCCTTGAAACAGGGGCAAACACACTTGCATTGGTGTCAATGGTCGCCTGCAGGTCTCTCTCTGACCCTGCACCTGTTTCAGATCTGTCACACTGACTATCATATCTTTCCTTTTAAAGAGGCAGATTATCTGTGGATCATGTAACTGGAAACATCTCTCACAAGATCCTACAAGAGCCCTCTGCAATCTGGCAACGCCTGCTCCTCAGAACAGAGCATGTAACAAGCATATGCTTGGAAACATGCTTCTGCTAGATCAAGGGAGGGAAGGAGTGCATAAGCAAAGTAACTTCTATAGCTGTTCTCAGAGAATGGATTTATATTTTAGAAGAAAAGACATCTGGATTGTAGGTAGTGTGTGCCTCATCTCATCTTCCTTACTCTGGCGTGTGTTCCAGTCCATGATGACACGGGGAGGTCACAGACAGGCTCCTGCTCTTGAGGACACGCAGGTAGTAACATCACTTTTAACTAAGTCAGATTCATTTTACTGTTCTATTTGAATTTTTCCCACCAGGGAGTGGTGCTTGCCAAAGGAGATGGAATGCATGCCTGTCTTAATCCTTCCCTAAGACTACTGTCTTAGGAGAGGTTGAGCTATAATAGAGGCATGAAGCACATTTCAAAATTTCAAACATTTGCACCAACTTTTGGGGGAACCTCAAAACAGCCATTCCTGATGTATATTAAAGTTGGTGATCTATTTTTGTTTGTGAGAGCTAAAAATAATGTCAACATCTCTTCATTCTCTTACTTCTTATATGACTTAATTATAAAAATAAAATAACATGAGGGCAAAACTTCCTTTCCCCTTATTAAGAAATCTATGGCAAAACAACATCTGAACAGTGATCACCTCTTCTGAGAAAGCTATCTAGCTCTGCCTTCTATGCTTTTTCCTTTGAACCATTGTCTGATAATGCCTTTTACTTGATATCATAGCTATTCCAGGAATGGAATTCAGCCAGGAAAATAGTAGATTTCTGAATGAAGAAAAGTGATTCAGATTCTATGGATTTTAGCACTTCCCAAGAGAGGGGATTTGTATCTGGGAAAACATCTTTTTCCACGTATTTAATTCTTTTATCAATTAACATAGACTAAATTATTTTTAAAACAATATAAGACAGTTTAGAAATATTACAGAAAACAGTCTAAATCATTGTTCCCTATAGGAAGTGGATTTATAGTGATGTTCCTCAACTTTTTTCGATTATCACTTATTCTACTTCCAGAGACTTTTGCTTCCTCCCCCGTGTCCCAGTTAAACCTCCTAAGAAATCTTAATATCACAGGTAGATGGTATATCTGTTTATAATTAAAGGTATATCTGTGCTTTATACATTAAAAGATTTTTGTCACTTCTCCCAAAGAATAAATTTTCATCCCCTTGTGTATGATGTCACCACCATTGAGAATGCATGATTTACAGTTAAAAAAAGTTTCTCCAGTGGAGTTGGGCAATATATCCCTATGCCTGTATATAAATGCCTTATATTTCTTGTTAAATATCTCATTCAACAAGAAACCACCAACTCATCATCTTGGTGGTGTTTAGAGGACTGAAAGCTCTGGGAGTCAGACTATTCTAATGGTTCCAAGCCTTTCCAGTGCACCCTGACACAGTAAATATTTCTGGGACTGTTAAGTTCACTTTCAGAGGAATTGGCAAATCTTGAAATGA